TACATATACATATACATATACATATACATATACATATACATATACATATACATATACATATACACATACATATACATATACATATACATATACATATATATACATATACATATATATATATATTTACATCTATTTATTTATAAGGAACATCAACATAGGGTGATAATACAAACAACTACACGCATAATACACTTTAACTAGACGAAATATTTTTGAAGCAGAGGATAATCCGCAGAAAAAAGAGTAAATAAATAAAGAGCGAATTAATGCAAACATTACCTGAAGTTTATGAAGACGGAGATCAGGAGACAGCCCGACTGGCAAAAGAATTTGTCTATCGCACAATACGCGCGGGCAGTGCCCAAACACTTCGTCTATAAACCTGTCCCTCTGAGAAACATAAACAATATTCAAATTTAATTTAATCTAATTTAATTTAATTTAATTTAATTAATAAGGTGAGGTAGGTTATATAAAACCTAAATGCAATCAAACAGAACAACGAAAAAAAAACGAGAAAAGAAGGTCTATTAATAAGTGAAGCACTTCTTTGTCGGATTACAAAACTACTAATAATAATATTAATACTAATAATATTAATAATATCATCAATATTAATAATGTTAATAATACTAATCATATTAATAATGATAAAGCATTAATAATAATATAATAATCAGCAACTGATCATCATTATAGACAGCGTGATTACTACCATTGTCGTAGTATTAAAAAGACTATTCACTGCACTCCTATGAACATTATTATTATTATTAATAATGATTAATAATAGTAATTATTATTATTAATTATTATTATTATCTTATTCGAGTTTCTATTGAGGTGGTATAAAACAGAGAAGTGGGGGGAAAACGCGGAAAGTTAAATCCACAGAAAAAGTAAACGACTGCTTTTCTCTTGTTTTGTTTTTTCGTCTGTTTTTTTGTGTGTTTGTTTGTTTAACTGTTTGTCTGTCCTCTGTGTGCGTGCAGATAATGAAGCTATTTATAGTACAATAATACAACTATTATATTATTAATAATTAGATAATAATTTGACTATATCAAACTTATTTCTTTGCTGCCATCTGTTCTCTGAGGTGTATGTACACACCATTTGGGGAAGTCCCCTTGGGGAGATAATATAACGAGCGTGAATGAGCCCGTATAAATCTACAGCATCACGATAAACTTCAATAAAATTTTGATCGGCGACTTCTTCTTCATCGGGTGCGTCTCCTAGAATCATATCCATTGCTCCCTCAAAGTTGTTAACAGCAGATTTAAGCCCAAATAGGTTAAAAGTGTCTCTTATATATTCTTCATCAACCTCAGCAAAACAATCATGCCCTTCAAGAGAGCAAAACCATGATATCCACCCTTCTTCCTCTTCCTCTTCTTCCTCTTCTTCTTCTTCCTCCTCCTCCTCCTCTTCTTCTTCACTGCCTTTCAGAAACATAGACGCTACAGTCGAAAACAAATATCCTGGGGGTCCCCCTCCGTGGCCTTCGCCACGGCCTTCTGCTCCCCCACCTGCTGCTGCTGCTGCGTTTTGCAGATCGCCGCCACCGCCGGGCGTTCTGTCGCCTCCTGCAGCACTCTTTGCTTCTGCTGAGCTCATGGGTGGCTTAAAGAACAATGGAAACCCCCGGATGAATATATAGAAGGCAGAGTTCAAAAAACCCACGGAGCAGATGCAAGGAAGAAATGCGGTCGTTCAACTCCGCAGGAGAGAAACAAGGGAAACAACAGTGAGAGGAAAAAAGAAAAAGCCAGGAAATTGGCTGACCGTTTTGCATGCAGAGTTTCAATCATAACGCACTCTCAAGAAGAAGAAATGATGCAAAGTAACCGCCAATACGCAAAAGCGAATCATTTAGTTGTGGTGTACAGACACCTCGAAGAACGTGATGATCTGCTCTGAACAGGAACGGATGAAGACGAGTCTTTCTTCTCTCTAATTGGAATGCTAAACTCCATATATACTTGAGTTAAACGCTTTCCTATGAATATTCCTTTGCATTCACCTTCAAACTGAGCCGACCTGCATGCAAGCAGAGCCCCGTTACCGCTGATACAGCCCCCGCAGAGCAGCAGTATTGTATTCACCCAACGATTGTCCTGTTGATTTTGTTCGAATAATTTCAACCTCTATTTATCTTGACAAGAAGCTGCAAGATTTCAGCTGTCTGCTGTATTTAATAGAACAACAGCGGCAGATCCTCCAATACATCTGCAGACCTCTGTGGCCTCCCCTTCGGTTTCTGCAGCAGTTTTCTTTTTTCTGCTTTACACATAGGCTGAGCAGGGGCTCCTCTTCTTCTTTTGCATTGTCTCTCTCTTCTTTACCAAGGGGAAAGCTGTGAAAACACCAACAGGAGCTGCTTGCCGCCTCACCTCCACAGCTGTTGACGTCGGGCCTCCTCTGCTGACTTTCTCTGTCCTGCTGCATATTTGCTGTTGTTGCTGCTGGCTGCTGCTGCAGCGATCACCTGGAAGCAGCAGAATAAATGCACAAGTGAAGCAACTGCGCTGTGCCTTCCAACCGTACATACACCCGAAATGGTGCCGCCAACCACTGGTGAGAAGGGCTCTGGAGCTGCAGGGAATGAAGAGAAGAATAAAGCAAATGAAACCCAACCTGCAGCAGAGGAAAAAGAAGTACCTGAGAAGAAACCATCGGGGACTGCTGCATCGGAGAGCGGCAGTTCAGCTGTAGATACACCCCAATCGAAAGAACAGTCAGCAGCTAGCGAAAAGAATGCCGATTCATCAAAAGAAACAGTTCAAACCAATGCAGCATCAGCTCCCGCTGCAGCTGCTGCATCTACTGCAGCTTCTCCTGCTGCTGCATCGTCTACTGCAGCATCATCAGCTGGCGCCCCAGCATCATCCAGCGCTGCACCAGGTGTACAGACAGCTGAAGCTACAAAAGGAGGGAAAGGCCCGGAGCTGCTTGCGAACGGCCTACCAAAAATAGTGTATGATCTTCCCAGTGCTTCATCATCATCTTCAGGAGGGGCTCGCCCTAATGTTTATTTAGATGCTGCGGATTCACATTTAGATTTACAAATAGATAAAGAAAACCCTTTAAGAGCGACATGCATGCACACAGGGGGCTTCCAGTATATGTGGAAAGGTGTACGTGCTTCTTGCGGTGTTAAAGGAAGAGGTAAATTCTTCTTTGAGGTGAAAGTTGAGCAAAAGTCAGCGCCTGTCGTTATGCCGGATACTCCTATTAATACTCAGCATGTCTGCAGAGTTGGTGTCAGTCAACCCCTCACAAGTTTACATCTCGGTTAGTCTTTTTATTTCTTCTTCTGCACATTTCTTTCTTCTTTTTACTCTTTTCTCTCTAAACACACTCCAATACCTGCAACCGCAGCTGCTGCACGATATAAAAGATGCTGATGTTTGTTTAGTTTAGCGGGGCTTGTTCGTTTGTTTGTTTATTTTGTTTTATTTATTTTTCGTTGTGTTTTTTTCAGCCTGTTTTATTACTATGGCTGTCTTTGCAGTGTCGTTTCTTCAGTTTTATTATATTTGAATAATATTACAATTATAAAGTTGTTTATTACTTTTGTTATTATTATATTATAATTATTATATTTAATGCTCGCTTTGTTTCATTTTGTCTTGGCTTGTTTGTTTATAAAGGAGATTTTTTTGTTTTTGTTGAGATGTTTGTTTGTGTTTGTGTTTGTTATTAATGCGTTTCTGTGTACTTGTTATATATACAGCCATAGTTTTCTCTTTATTGATTCTTTTTATCTGAATTTGTTTATCATTTGCATATAGTGTTTGTTATTAGTGCATTTCCCCCTGAGTTTGTTGTCTGTCTGTATGTTTATTTGTTTGTTTGTATTTGTTATAGCTATGTCTTCTTACATATTTTAATTCTTTTTGTTCGCCTTTGTTGTTGATATGTTTGCGAGTTAGTCTTTTATTTGTGTATTTATTTGTTTCTTCATATACCCTTAATTATATAATATTATATCTGTTTGTTTGTCTGTTTGTGCATGCATATTTGGGGTGTACGTACACCAGGAGACTCAGCAGAATCGTGGGGCTTTGGAGGGACTGGAAAGAAATCAACAAATCGCAAGTATAGCGACTACGGGGCGTCGTTTGGTGAAGGAGATGTGATAGGTGTTTGTATAGACTTTGAAAATTTAGTATTGTCTTTTACTAAGAATGGACAGTATCTAGGAACTGCATTTGAATTGCCTGCAGCTGTAAGAGAGACAGGTCTCTTCCCGCATATCTACGTTAAAAACTACAATTTTTCTGTTAATTTTAGTGAAAAAAATCAGTCATTTAAACCCCCTGGGCCTCAGTTCAAATTCATTGGCGACCTACCACACAATGTAAGAAACATCTGACGCATATCCTGCTGCTGTTGCTGCTGCTGCTGCTGTTGCTGCTGCTGCTGTTGCTGCTGCTGCTGTTGCTGCTGCTGCTGTTGCTGCTGCTGCTGTTGAGGTGTCTGCATCTTTGTCTGTCTACTTCGCCAGTTTTGATTTCCTTACCATTTATTTCTGCGTTTGTTTCCCTTTTGAATGTCGTACTGTCTTCATTTTCTAGTAAATAAGTAGATAAATCAAATAAATAAGATAAAATAAATGATATAGTTAATAAATAAGTTAATTAATGCATTGATTTTGTTTGTTTGTTTGCTGCGGTGTAGGAGCTGTTGCCTAACCCAGTGGAGCATCCGCAGTCTGTATCAGAGTGCGAGTTTATAATGATGTGCGGTTTGCCTGCATGCGGAAAGACATATTGGTTGGAGAAGCATGTGGATAGACACCCGAAGAAGGCGTATGTGTTGTTAGGAACAAATGCAGTTATAGATCAAATGAAAGTCATGGGGTTAAAGAGACAAGCAAATTATGCAAATCGCTGGGAAGAGCTCATGTCTACTGCTACAGAAGTATTTAATAGCCTCGTCGCATATGCAGGCTCAGGTGTAGTGCCGAGAAATATCATTATTGATCAAACAAATGTCTTCAAACGCGCAAGAGCAAGAAAAGTGCAGCCTTTCCTCTGTACGCAACACCTCTACATACACCCCAACACACATACACGCACACACGCGCATACATGCATGCATGCATGCAATAGATGCATATAAGCGCCAATAGGTTGCTGTAGGTGGGGCTGTTTTGGGGGTTTATTCGGAGGAATAGATAAGGAGAAAGAAGAAGAAATGATGCAGCAGCAGCTGTCTTTGTTTGTTTGTCTTTGTATGGGCCAGTAGCTGTTGCACTTCTGCAGCTTTCTTCTATCTGTTTCATTCTTTTCTCCCAGTTAATTCATTTTCAGCAGCTGCCCTCCCCTTCTACTGCTGTTCTCTGTTGCTTGCTCGTATTCCTGCTGTTCCCTGCTGTTGCTGCTGCTGCTGTTGCTGCTGTTGCTGCTGCAGCTTGGGGGGTGCGGCGGTGCGTAGTGATGGTGACAGACGAGCGGACGCTTCAGGAGCGAACCCAAAAGAGAGAAAGAGAAGAAGGGAAGATGGTGCCTGTGTCTGCAGTGATGGATATGAAGGTAAATGCATTTAAAGATAGATAGAAGAAAATGCTTTGCCCTTCCAAGGGGCTAGTGTATATCAACTTGAAAGAGAGAGCAAACATAGGCAGACAATATCATACTAACATAATAAAGGGGTGTATATGCATGCATGCGTGTCTTCATTTCTATCTATCTATAGTTCTTATTCTCGTCTTCTCTCAGATATGCTTTTCTTTGCTTTGTTTTCGGCTTGTTGCAGGCGGCATTTGCTCTCCCTTCGTTTGATGACGGGTTTACAGTAATTGATTATGTAGAAATGCCGGAGAGCGAAAGTAGACGAGAAATAAGAAGAATTAATGAAGAGGGAAGAGCATACAAAGCAAACAACCCAGGAGTGGTGAGGCAGAGACAACACCTTCTTTGCAAATATTTTCAGTGCTGAACTTTAATTAATTAATTAAATTAATTAATTAAATTGATTAAATTAATTACTTCAATTCTAAGAAGCAACATGTATGCACTTACTACCATAAAAGGTATGGATTTCTTTACACTTCAAATTTAAAAGGAAATCTGAGGTGTACAGACACCTCCCCACATATACCTTTCCTCTCTGCTATTTGTTTCTTTCTTCAGAATAATCGGCAACCCAAACCTCACATTGAGGCTCGTGGAGGGTATGGTGATGCAGACGCATCAGCAGCAAAAAGACACAAAGGAGATCACTGGCAAGCAAACCCTTCTGGGGGCCCCCATTCGTCTTGGGGGGGCCCCCATGGGGGCCCCCCTCACCAATCCTGGTCCGGGGGTGGGGGACCCCAAGGGGGCCCCCCTGGTGGACGGGGCCCCCAAGGCTATGGGGGCCCCCAAGGGGGACGGGGCCCCTGGGGAGGTCAGGGGCAGCAGCAGCAGTGGGGCGGGGGGGGCCCCCAAGGGGGCTGGCAGGAGCAGCATAGGAGCAGCAGCAATGGGGGCCCCCGATATAATTCAGGGGGGAATGGTGGATATGGAGGAGGATACGAGTATGATTCTCATTACCAGCAGCAGCATCAGCAGGGGTACGACAGCAATTATTACTCGCAGCAGCGGCAGCAGCAGCACGGGGTGTATGACTCGCGGGGAGGACAGCAGCACTACCAGCAGCAGCAGCACCATCAGCAGCAGCAGTGGCATGATGCATACTCGAATAACAGAGGCTGGCAGGGCCCCCCTAACTACGGAGGAGGGTCGAGGGGTGGGTATTACCAGCAGCAGGGCCGCTACTGACTTTGTGCGTGTGCATTGAGGGTTTCGCTTTATAGTAATAATCATAAAAATAATAAAAATAATTATATATATTACTATTTGTAAAGAAAAATACTCAAGGTTTATTATTTCTACTCTCTTCTCCGTCTTTTTATCTCTGCTTGATGGGGGGAAGAAATAAAACAGCGAATTGGGGAGTTGCTGCGGTGTACATACACCTCAAAGGTGTGCACAGGAGACGGCTGCTTGTTTTATTTCACTTGGCTAGATTGGTTGCTCTTGTCTTCTTTATTCTTATGTTTAATAGTGAGGCCTCTCTTCTAGGGGCCCCTGCTTGGAGATGATGATACGGTGTACATACACCTGAAATGCTGCTGCCCTTTTTCAAAGAATATTTCCGTTCATTCGATGCTTGCGTTGGTCTTGTGCTGCATTTAAACAGCTCCTTTGTGTGCATGCATTGACGTCTGCATGCATGCATGGATGCATGCATGCATTGATGTCTGGATGTCTGGATGCATGCATGGATGTCTTCATGCACGCCGTTATCTCAATTGATTGCATTTAGTGCATTGTTTATGATTGAGGATAACGTATTGAAAGGTTTAAAGAACTCAAATACGGCTTCAGCTTCTTCTTGCACAGATTTTAAGGGTTTATCAGCGTTTGAATTGGGGTTTATGAGGGTTTGTCTGAGGGTTTATTAGGGCCTTACTAGGGTTTTTTTAGGATTTATTAGGGTTTGCGCTGAGGCTTATTACGGTTTGCGTTAGTGTTGATTAGGGTTTTTCTTAGGGTGCACCAGGGCTTATTAGGGTTTTGAAGAGGGTTTAGGGTTTTCCTTAGGGTTTATTAGGGTTTTACTTGGGGTTTATTCCCGCTGAGTTGGGGTTTATTAGGGTTTATTAGGGTTTCGAAAGGGTTTTATTAGGGTTTAATAGGGTTTGAACTGGGGTTTACTCGGTCTGAGTTACTAGTTTTTAATTAGGGTTTTAACACTTATTAGTTTATTTGTGGTTTAATAAGGCTTTATAAAAACCCTAACAAAACATAGTAGGGGGTTTATTAGGGGCTGTATAATCCCGTAATAAACCCCCTATTATGCTTTATTATAAAGTGTAAAGGAAAGGAAGTTGAGTAAAGTTTGGGGTGTCGCTTGGATGGTGTAGATGGCGCTTGTACATTTACTTCTAGCGAGACAGAGAGATAAAGGGAGAAAGTCAGAGAAATAAATGTTTAATTCTTTTCAGGTTTACTTGAATTATGCAAAACGGAGTCAGGAGAAGACGCTGAGACGCGCCTCTTTCATTTTTAAATACCTCAAGAAAGTAGGTAAAGGGGGTGCTGCCGTTGTTATAAATAGCGCATGCACTTCAATGGCTTAGGAAAACAACAGGCGAACATTGAGGTGTACATACACCGGGAGGATCGCTGGCCCCGCCCTACTCTGAAAGCAACAGTACAAGAATAATTGAAGGCAAATAAATAATAATAATAATAATAATAATAATAGGAGAATAACGGAGAAACACATCGACAATTTTCCTCAGCTAAGTGTTCATTAAACACTTAATAAATGATAAATAATTAATAATTAATAATTAATAATAATCACTAGGGTTTATTTAACTCTAAATCTGCAGCTAAAGGGCGTGGGGCCCCCCAGCCAAGCAGAGAGAGGCGGCCCCCTACAGCTCGATTGCATGTTGAGTTGTAGTATAAATAGCTATTTTTGTTATTTTCCTTTTTATTCTGTTTTTTATTTGTGAAAATTGAATTAAAATGATGCTTTTGTTCGCTGTATTTGTCTAACATCTGCATAAAGCTGCCTGTACACCTGAACTGCCGACGACGCAGACAAAACGCAGAGGAGGGAGGGTGAGCGTCTCTTACTTACACAGGAGGCCTCCGAAGTAATTTAATTTTGAGGGTTAGTTTGTATAGGGGTTTTAAAAGAAGTGTGTACACTGCAAGATTAACTACGAACGAGCACAGCTACTTCAGGTGTACAGACACCTCGCCGCGAGGCGGCTGCTTCTCGGCCTCAGCAGAATGACGGAAGAAGAAACAGAAACTGCAACACGACAGAGGGCCCCCTTCTTGCAAGTTCCAAAGAAAGCTGACCCTCTAACGCATGCAGGGGGCCCTTCGGGGTGCTCGGCGCTTCTCTTGCTTCTATTTACTTCAGCAATCCTTCTGCTTGCGCTGCTGTCGGCTGCTGCAAATCATTTTCACCTCCCCCAGGCATCCCCAATAGACGCACCAGCAGATGAATTCAGCGAAGACAGGGCCAAGCTGCTGCTGCAGCCAGCAGCGCGCAGTGTACGTACAGTCGGCAGCTGCGACAACGAAGTCGCAGCACCGCTGCTGCTGCACTCCTTTGTACTGAAGCACCTCCTCATGCTTTCCTACCCATATTCAGATAATGTAGAAAGAGAATCTTCAGGGACAGGTGCTGCCGGTGCAGCACCGCAAGCAGCTGCAACGGCAACATCAGCTACAGATGAAGCAGCAGCAGGAGGAGCAGCAACAGCAGCAGGAGCTGAAATGCAAGCGGTCGTGGGGCGGTTGAGTTATGTGCTGCTGGTGACGCACAAGCCGCGAGGAAGTGCAGCACAAGCAGCAGCAGGGAGTGCAGCAGTAGCAGGAGAAGAAGAAGATTCAGCGGGATCTGAAGAAGACTACTCAGCAGCAGCAGCGGCAGCAGAAACGAAAGCAGCAGCAGCAGCAGCAGCGGCAACGAGGTTGCAGCGTATTAGGCCTCCTGGGCAGGTGACTGATATTGAGACATGTCTGTGTGGCGTCGTGCAGCTGCACCACGTGCTGCTGCAGCAGCAGCAGCACCACAGAGCAGCAGCAGCAGCAGCAGCAGCAACGGGATTTCATGAATTGCTGCTGCAGCATACGCAGGAGGAATTGGGGCCTGCATGCAGCAGCGAGCAGCAACGTCAGATATGTGCTGCAGCAGTGAGGAGAGCAGCAGCACAAGACCCCTTCTCTCCATCCGCAGCAGCAGAAGCCGTTGCCTCCTTTGAGAATAGAGGAGCAGCAGCAGCAGCAGGAACAGCAGCAGCAGCAGGAACAGCAGCAGCAGGAGCAGCAGCAGCAGCAGCAGATTCCGAGGTGTGGGGAGAGTTGGAGTGTACAGACAGTCCTGGCGTCTTGGATTCGTCTTCTTCTGTTTTTGTTTCGGGTACTTTCATTCGCAAAGTGCAGTGTCTTGTAATGACGCGGCATTTCCTTGCTCCTCCTTCCACTGTCTCTGCCCTAATTGGCCTTGCTCTAAAGCAACACAAACAACAACAGCAGCAGCAGCAGCAGCAACCCGAGCAGCAGCAGCAGCAGCAACAAGAGCAGAAGGAGAAGCAACAGCAACAAGAGCAGAAGCAGCAGCAGCAACAGCAGCAGCAGGGAGGAGGTACTTCAACAGCTTCCGCCGCTACATCTTTAAAAGAGGGTAAAGGGGTGCATGCGGCTTTTTCGTCTAACGACTTGCAGGTGTATTCGCTGCAGCAATTGCTGCAGCTGCTGCACTTGCTGCCTCAGGAAGAGCTCGACAGGAGTTTCTCTGCAGCAACAGCAGCAGAAACAGCAGCAGCAGAAGCAGCAGCAACAACAGCAGCAGAAGCAGCAGCAGCAACAACAACAACAGGCAGCTGGGTGCTGCGTCAGTTGGTGAGCTCCGTCTTAGCTTTGGATGTGGGGTTCTGGGGCGGTGCTGCTGGGGGGTTTGCCTTGGAGTATGCGGGTCTTCGCACCGCGCTGTATGCAGCACCTCGCAACTTCACACTCGAAATTAAACCTCTTGCTTTACCTGCTGCAGGCAGCAGCAACAGCAGCAGAAGTATCAGCAGCAGCAGTATCAGCAGCAGCAGCAGCAGCTGCGCTGTCTTGAAGCCCGCAGATGCACAGGCAAGCAATGCACGTTGTTCAGAGGGGCTCCCAACCCAGTCGGAGTGCCTTCAGGGGTCCCCTAAGGACGCAGTGCATGCAGCAGAAGCCTTGAAGGGCTGCAGCAAAGAGCAAGGAGGAAGACGTGCTGCTGCTCGTGCTCCTGCTCCTTCTGCAGTGATGCTCGCGGCACACTACGACTCTGCTCCCTCTTCTCCTGGAATTAGTGATGATCTCGGGATGTGCGCAGTTGCGCTGGAGGTTGCGAGGGCTGCGGTGTACAGACACCTCAGAACTGTACACAGGCGCCAACAGACACTGTGGGGCCTGCACGAGCAGCAGCAGCAAGAGCAACAGCAGCAGCAGGAGCAGCAGCAGCAAACCCATGAAGACGAATCCATATCTACCCCCCTCATTATAAACCTCAACGGTGTGTCTCTGCAGCTCGTAAGAAGCGGTTTGCATCGAGGCACACCCAAGGCCTTGGGGGCCCCCAGGGGCACTCCGGGGAAACCCCAACAAAAATGCATGCGTAACAGGCAGTAGCCCCGCCACTGCATGCAGCACTTGCACTTCAGAAGATATAGATGAGGGTGGGAGTATGTTCTGGCTTGAGGGTCTGCGTGAGGTGTTTGCGAATGCTGCTTGTCTTTCCCTTCAGGGTGTAGTTGCATGCATCATGACTTAGGGTCTGCCAGTATAGGGCTTAATTCTCTCGGGTTTATATTTATGTTCGTATTTGTTTGTTTGTGTTTATGGTGGGGGCACTGCTGCAGGAGCTGAAGAGGTGATGCTGCTGGCCTCGCATGCGTTCGGTTCCCAGCACCCGTCTGCTCGGGGCATTCGTGTTGCTGTCAATTTAGAGGCTTCGGGGTCGCGAGGAGGGTCTTATCTGCTGCAGGTGAGGCTTTGGTTTCTTCTGTTCTCTTGTGACGTTTGTTGCGCTTTTCGTCTCCTTGTGCTTCTTTGCCCAATCAACATCAACTTTAAAATATTTACGGGGCTGTACATACACTGCGCAAGTCCCAAGCAGTCCGTCAGATGCCTTAACTACGTCACGCACCCTCTAGGGCACATGCACGCACGCATGCATGCATGCACGAGGCCCAAAGAAACACACTGTACATACACCTACAAATCGATGCATGCACGTGCATGCACGTGAGGGGATGCATAGGTGCTGCTGCAGTAGGGATGTCTTCTGTGAGAGGGGGTCTCGTGTTGTAGTTTTTTGGTCTGGATGTGTTTGCGTGTTTGATGCAAATTAATTTCTCTGTGTATTATTTCCAATGCATGCGCTCCAAGCTGCATGCATGAATACATCGGGGCTTGAAATGAAAGAAACAATGTGCTAACTGTATTGCTGCAGATGCCCAAGCCGATGGCAGGGAGGCTCCTTACAGCCATTGCCGCACTGCCGTCACCCAGTGCAAATTCAATCGCCTCAGATGTTTGGAACTCCGGTCTATTTCCAGGAGTAACGGACTTCAGGTGCGCAACTGAAAGAGGCAAGAGAGGGGCCCTAAAAGAAGAGGGGCCCCTAAAAGAAGAGGGGCCCCCAAAAGAAGAGGGTCCCCTAAGAAAAGAGGGGCCCCTAAACGAAGAGGGGCCCTCTGAAAGGAGGTTGACCCCGTGAAGCCCCTAAGAAAGCAGGGACACATTTAGTTAGAGGAGGGGCTGCTGTTACCTTATTCAGCGGATCCTTTAAGAGGCCCTTACTGCTTGAGGGGCCTTCCTGCGTTGACTGCTGTCCCCATTAATGCATGCATGAATCCATGCATGCATGCTTCCGTGCATGATGGGAGTTGAGTCTCGGGTTCTGAGACTGCCCTGCATGCATGCATGCACGCGTGCATGCATGCATGCGTTTTGCTGCTACTCATTTTGCGTTTTTTTTCAGAGTTTGGACGGAGGTGTTGGGGATTGAGGGAGGGCTGGACTTAGCCTGGATTGGCGACGGTTCGACTTACCATACACCGCGAGATAACTTAGAGAATTTGCACAGCGGCTCTCTGCAGCACACGGGGAGCACCGTGCTGCATTTGCTGCGGCCGCTGCTGCAGATGACTGCTGCACTTGCCGTAGAGCCTTCAGCAGCAACTCAGAAGCAGGAAACTCCTGATATCCCCTTCTATCAAGACTTTCTGGGGATGGTGGTGTTGGTTCTGCCTTGGGAGACGTTCACGCCGCTCGCGGCCATTGGGTGTCTGCTGTTGTTCTTGAATTATAAACTGCAGAAAACGGTCCTCGGTGTACAGACATCAATGGCTCTGGTGATATTCAGCTCCTTGGCCTTCGGATGCAGCTGCCTTGCTGCTGCTGCTGCTGCCTGCGGCGTTTCCGTTCTCGGGGCGCTACTCCTGCAGATGTATGGGCAGCTGTACATACACTGGCCGCTTGCTGCAGCCACTCGTGGCCTTCTGGCGTTTGCTGCGCTGATCTGGTGCTGGGACGCTGTCTTCTTTCGCAAGTGAGCTGGTTCGGCTCTTGCTTCTGTGGTTGTTGTTGGTGGGGTTGCTGATGAAGCTGCTGTTTCTGCTGCTTGGGGTGCTGCTTCTTCTAAGGGGTGCTGTTCATGAGTGCTACTGCTGCTGTTGTGCAGTCAGTTCTTCTGCATGCTATGTTGTCTTTATACGAGAATTTCTTTCCGGATCTGCAGGCTGAGTCGGCGTTTTGCCTTCAGCAGCCAGCCGCTAATTTGCATGCATGCAGCAGGAGAGGCTCCTCTGCTAGTGTTGCTTGTTCTTTGCTTCGTTCTGCATAGGCTGCGTAAGTGCATGCAGCGAGAGTTCATTGCTCTGTGTCTCCTGTTGACTGCGCCAAATGCACGGCTTCGTCCTTCAAATGAACAAATGCGGCCAAAAGAAAGGGGTTCTTATCGTCTTAAAATATTATCTTTCGTGTTTGCTGTTCAGGCCTCTTCGCCTCCTTCTACCTGCTACTGCTGCTGCTGGGGCTTGTCGGCCCACGAGTGGCTTTGCTGTTGTTCTGGAGCATACGCAGCAGCAGAAGCACCAGCAGGTACAGCAGCAAATGCAGCAGCAGCAGCATCGGGAACTCCGAGAGGAATGAAATTGATAAGAGAAATGACAAAGCCACAACTCTCAGGACGTCAGCCAGAAGAGGCTGCGTTCTACAGCTGGCAAGCGCGTTGGGGGGGTTTATACCTTTGGTGTTTTTATTTCAGGTAAGTATTAACTGCTGCATCCCTGCGGGGTGTATGTGCAGCTCCTCCCCCCGTCCCCGTGTAATAAGCTCTGACTCAGTTGCAAGCAGCTGCACTCCAAAGCCCCAGAAGCAGCATGATTTAATTTGCCTCTAGTGGTAGCAGCAAAAAGTGGCTAGTGAGCTACTTTAAGATGTTGACAAGGTGTGAGTACACCTGACATTTGTTTGCAGAACCTTAATAGGAGGTTGGCCCCTATGCAAGCGATATGAAGTGTGTTTAGACAGGCTTTTTGCTGCATCGGCAGTGTATTTATGCATGAGGATGAGCTGTCTGTACGCTTCCCCACATATTCACTTCAGATAATGAAGTGTCTTTGTGTTTCTCAAGTGATTTCTGTGTGTTTTTCTTAGGCACATCTGGCGCTCCTCGATGGCACCAGCGGCCCCGCGGGTCGCAACGGGGAGTCGCTGCTGCAGATAGATTTGCTGTTGAACTTTGGGGTTTTGCTGCCGGTGTTGCTGCTGCTGCCTGCTGTTCTCTGTCCCTCCATCTTTTATTTTCTGCACTTCTCCAGGCGAATTCCAAAAAACCTGAAGACAACTGCTGCCTCTTCCCATGTAGTGGAGAGCAACTGGCGGTATTGGGGATTGGGTGTAGTTGCTGCTGCAGTGGCTGCTATGGTTGCTGCTGCTGCACTCAACACTTCCCCTGCGCTTCTTCCCCCGCTCGTGGATCATTTACCTCTGCAGCAGCAGCTGCTGCCGGAGGCCGAGGATATTTCTGCTGGTGGTGAAAGAATAGACAAACGTGACAATGAAGGGGCTGTCAGTTTGCCGCTGCTGCCTACTGCAGCAGACGCTACTGTAGTTCAGGGGGCCCACCACCAGTCGAAGCCGCACCGTTCTCTTTTAGGCCTGCTGCCTTTTAGCCTTGGCCACTACTTGCTGCCTTCTGAGGACTTCCCTTTCTCCGCAGAAAGGCCGCTGCAGCTGCACTTCGTTGTTTTCAGACGCTCAAAGATCACCGCTTTTTTTCCTTGGGGAAGCAGCGCCAACAACGACAGCGGCAATGCAAATGGAAGCGGAACACGCCTTGCCGGCAGCATCCAAAAGGACACAGAACAGCCGCAAGTGCACGAAGCGTCCGCAGCCACTGCAGCAACAGATGCCTCCCGCTTTACCGCTAAGTTGGAGCCTTTCTCCTTTACGTATCGCAGCCCGCCGCTCTTGCGTCACTCCACCCAAGGCGTTGCAGTGATGGGGCTGGGATCTCAGGTGTTTTGGAATCCCGCGTTTGCCGATGCTCCTTCTGTGCTATCTGCAATGCGCAATGCCGTGGTGGCGGCAGAAGAAGAAGCAGCAGCAGCAGCATCGGCCTCTTCCTCTTTGAGTGAAACCCACCAAACTTCTTCTCCCCCCCACACTGCGGTTTCAGGTGGCCTAAAACATTCAAACAAAAATGCAGTGACTTTGTCTGATAGTGGAGGAGAGGGAACTGCGTCTGGAACAACTGGAAAAGGCACTGCTGCAATTGAAAGAGAGAATATCTGCACCAGTTCTGAGGAAAATAGAATGTCTAGATGCTCGAAAGCAAAAGGGCCTCCTGCCTTTCTTCTTATGGAGGAAGCCCCCTCACAAAAAGCCCCCTTGACCCTCGCCCACCTCCACAGGCTGAGCACCACTCGCATGCATTGGAGTCTCTACACTAATGCGCAGGTGCTCTCAATAACCTCAGCGATGTGAACACTACGGTGTATTATAAGTTCTTTCGTGTCAGTTGTTGTTATCTTCACAATCTTGTCGTTGGAAAGTGTGGAAATCCTTCACGACGTTCATGATGATGGGACTGCGACAACCAGAGGTGCGTGTAAAACAGATAGCAACGAATGACCTACAGGAATTGGTGTAGCTTTTTGCGCCTTCAGGCGTTTCTCCCGCCATCCACACCCATGCAAACTAGCCGCGTGTTTAGTCCAGGACTACGAGGCGAAGTGAACGTACATTACGAGTCCGTATCGACACTGCCAATGGCCTGCGTATGCGCAGCTGTTTGGCCTCTCCTAGTCATTGAGAGCAGAACCGTTTCGTTTGCTCGCCTTGTCTGTGTTCTACTTGTTTGCGCGGCGGTGGCTGTGGTGTGTTTTGTGCCCTCCGGTTTTAAGCAAATAGCAGAGACGATGATGAAGACAAGTCGCGTGACTCAGCGTGTGATGAGAAGTGAACTGTGACGAGGGGATCCAGATGCAGCTAGCACTGCTGAAGGAAAGATTTCTTTGGTGGCCATTAGCGATACACGCGGTGCTTGGTTTCCTTGTCTTCTTCTTTGCGTTTACAGCGACGCTAAGGACGAAACGCGCCTGAGGCTGCTCATTGGAGGCGCTTCGCTGCTGGCTGTTGCGCTCCCGGCCGCTGGACTTAAAAGGTGGAATTTGGAGCGCCAGGCACCGCTTCAACGGCTTATGCAGTGCGACTGTTACGTGGTTACTATAGCAACTCCAACGCCTCCCGTTATGACGAAGCTCGAATTCTTCTTCCAAGGGAACATAACGGTGGGCATTGCTGACAGTAGCTCTGCATGCTTCTAGCGCGCATTTAGTACAGTCCGTAGAGCCCAGGAAATGAAACACCGCAGTGGAGAAGGCATTCCTGGAGGACGTACAGGCGTGCTGGTGTGAAGTGCAGCGACTGAACACATTCCTGGGCCAGTCTTATCGAAAAAACTTAAGCTCAGAGAAATTCTGCTTGCGAATGTGATCAGGTCCGCTTCACAACGCGTTCGGGTTTATTCGACCTAGCGGCACCGAACACTAGCTGTGCAGAAACGCCGCTTTTCAGCACAGTTCTGAAACTTCCTATCCCCCCTTCTCTCGCCCAGACTGAAGACAAGGGGCCCTTGCACTTCAGAACTCCGCCACCCGAAGCTGAAGCTGGCGGCGGTATGCCGTATCTTGGTGAAGCATCTGAGGCAGGGAATATCTCCAGTCGCCTCAACACTTTTTGGGAGAGGCTAGTCAATGCATTGCCGAAGCATACAACCGCTGCGGGCAGCTACGCCGATGCTGCAGAGTGGATTTTGCCGCGTGCGCCCTTTTCCGCGAAGTTTGCTTTCGACTAAAAGGTGCAGTTTTAGCGCGACTTTCTGTAAACTGACAATATGCATACATGCCCATGTTTCGGGATAGAAATAACAGTGTGCAACAGCGTGTTGACAAAGTGGCAATCAGAAGAGCTATTTCAGCACCAGCTTTTCCTATGGTTCAATGAAACGTAACTGCTACCACTGCGTACTGTAGTGCAGCACGGTGGAAGATGCCCAGCACACTCCCAAGATGCAGGCATGGGATGCAGCTGCACAAAATGGCAAATGGCCTTTAAATTAAGTCAAAGAACCAGTGCACACGCATCTCGACGCAGTTCGCTGCTCTCGTCTATCGGCAACGGGGGCAGCGAAGTATGGCTCTCTCCGGCAGCATTCATTTACGCCAAATCCCCTGCCGTGTTACCCTCGTACCCTTCGATGAAATTCGCTTAGGGATGCCGCCACGGCTGCTAAGGGTGGCAGCCGGTTAGCGCCAAAGGACGGAACGACAAAGATGTCAAACAACGACTGAGGGAGACGCACACTGTATGTCGCATGGACACGTATCAGACGGTCCCCTCCTCTTGGGTCCTTGTTATCCTTTTCCCAATTTGAAAGGCGTATAGTCTGTGTATTGCGTGTGTAGGAAGGGCCCTTTCGGTCTCCAACAAGAGCCATAGGGGCATGTGGGGAAACGCAATGGGTTCACCATCAGAAAACACTTGTCGGCCTATATGAAACTAAGCATGGGATTAGCATACTGCATGGCAGGTCCTGGAGGATGCGCAACCGCCGTGAACTGGTGGAATTTAGGCTTCATCTCTGAGCCATTCAGTCTGAGCAAGGCAAAAGACTTGGAAAACACTGGAAAGAAACCTCAACATGCGCAAAACGTGAAGAGAGACAGAAATCGAAGGATTAGCAAAAGGAATAGCAACACATGGTGCTCCTGGCACTACTAGTCGGATCTGCATACCTGATAAAAGCTCCCTTATTGCCCATTTCGTCGCAATAATTTGGAGCGCTAAACACAGTGATCTGCAGAGAAGCAACAAACATGAGGATGAGCTGTCGTATTTCAAAGTTACACCGCTGTTCCACGCTATACACCGCCGCCACATCCCATTAATGGCTACAGTTCGCTATGCTAATGGCCCTTTCTTAACTTCATAAGCCGTGCCAGTGGTAAACGTGATCGTGTAGTTATCTGCTAGGAAGCAAAACAGGGAGGCGCATGTTACCAGCTTCCCGCCATGTTCAACTTCATATCCCTCTTCCTTCATTTCGTGTGAACGAATAACGAAGCTCAAGTTGTTGTCCTTTAGAAACTTCGCCGTTATATCTGGGCCGAACTGGCATGCAACTCCTCTCTTTGACGGTGTAAGTCCAGGAAGTGCAGAAGGGTCAGACCACAACAAGTCCGTCATCAGCACTGCATGAAATGCCCAATCATAGGGAAAAGCCTAATCTCGGCGCAATACGAATCATATATACAGACACTCCCCAGAAGGTGAAGACTTAATGCATGAACACCCCCAACCTTTAGGCTAGCGAGTTCAGGTGGGAAAACGCAGAAGGGAAAAGAAACTTGCACCCACGGCCACCTCCAACAAAGGGATACCCACCATCAGATCCTGGCTCCTTGTTGCGGTCAATCTTGCGTATGTCGTCCAGCGTTACATTTTGCTGACGAGATAGACCTCCATGAACTACAAATGCTTTGTTGTTCACTACAAAGGCCAGCGGCAACAAGCGGAACGCCTACAGCACAGACGAAAGAAAACAACAACAGTCTCCCGTTGGAGGTTTGTTCCAGTGGTAATATGCAGCATGGAAGCTTACAAGAGAGTTGAGCACCTGGTGCGGGTCCCGGCAATTGGCCAGCACAGCTCACTTCACTGAAGATTTGGTAGAGACGCTCATCATACTTGTGCAGCATTTCTCCCTTGAATCCGTACATCGCATTCATCTCACAAGTCTCGTGGTTTCCGCGAGTAATGTGCATGTGGTTCGGATAAGCCAGTTTGCACGCAACCATCATGAGCAGGACCTGTACGCAGTCGTAGCCCCAGAACCAGACAATGGAAGCGTTTAATCAATCTTCCGTAGTATGTATGAATGCAACGGACGGTATATCACAACATCGGTACGCCATGGCACCCCCATACCGTAGTTTAGGTTCGCGGGCAATGACTCTGTTCTGCCTTACCTCAACTGAGAAGCTGCCTCTGTCGACTATGTCTCCATTGAAGAGATACGGATTATCTTCAGAGGGCATTCCGTTGATCGTGAAGATATGCATTAAATCATAAAACTGTCCGTGAACGTCTCCACAAACTGTAATTTCCTTATCTGCGGGGATTTCCAGGTTGACTAGGGATGGCAGAGGCTCGAGTATTTCAATGAAGTCTACCGCCATTGCATAAGCATACTGCGGGTGCAGTCGATTCTCTGGGTTTTGCAGCCACGAGCGAAGAGATTCAAGGAACTTTGCATCAACTTTTCCCTTCTCATAGACGGGCCCTGCATAGCCCGGCGCGACTGGAAATAGCTTCTCTATACCCTCAGCCAGAACCTGCTTCGACGCAGGTATTGTCTGCTTCGTACGAATTGCCGCTGCAAACGCCTGAGCTCTAAGCTGCTTCTTGCACTCGTTCAGACGAGAAAGAGCATCGGCATCCTTCCCGCCACGCAGCTGGCATACTCTTTCGAAATCTGAGAAACCCAGTCACACATACTTCCCCTCCGTTAACAAGTGCAGCTAATGAACTTTTCTTGACGTACGATTCTTCGCACACACCCCAGAAACTAAGAAAGATTTGTCCAGTAAATACATCCACTTCAAGTTCGTTCTTATTCGTTAAGTGAGTAGACAGATGATGCAACAATGCGGAAAACACTGGGCCAATGATGTAGAGGGACAATATTCACCGCGCTGTGCAGCTTTCAGGTTCCCCAGGCAGAAGTAGCCAGTCCCACGGCGGTAATACCCCTTTGAAAACTTTGGGTTAAGCTCCAGAGCACGTTCGGCATCGATGATTGCCGACCCTGTGAAAGCAAACAGTTGTACAACTCCGGCAGACAATAAAAAGTCGGCCCTATGCAGGGCTTGCTTGTAATTCGTTGTGCATGGGCCATGCGCCCCAGTGAAGCAAAAGGGACAATGACCAAACAACCAAATACTGAGCACCACCTGCATTCGGAATGAGATAAGAATGCCAGAGGGTAATATCATACCAAAGTTTTCCATTCTTAGATGCGCGAACGACCTGTTGCAGAGGTAGACATGCAGCTGCGTTTCTTTGGGGTCCAGCGATGACTCATCGATCGTATCTATTGCAGCAGAGTACTTGGAGACTGCCTCCGCATATTGGTGTTGTTTAAAGAGTTCATTGCCCTCTGTCTTGAAAGCTTCTGCTTTCTCCAGGGGAGAGCAGCCGAGAGCATCATTCTTTCCGTCACGTTCGGCGCCATCGCCAGCTTCTTTTGCGGCGCACGAGCTTCCTCCATCGACCGCCATCTCACCGTCTCTCCTCTTCGCTGCCTCCTTGCGTAAAGACTCTGCTGAGTTGCCACTGATGCCTGCGGAATCACTGCCTTCCGCCATGAGGCACGATGGCGTGAGAGCAGGCGATTTGCTCCGAGCTCCCTGTCATGTACTTCTACTCAGCCCTCCAAAAGGCCAGCAGATAAGAAATAGGGGGACAAATGAACCACAGACAAGAATTGCTCGCACGCTACAACGACGGCTCTGCTTCCTAGGCACAGTGAATTCAAGCAAGTGTACCCTGGCCCACGTGACTTAAAAGTCTATGATTTCAAGAAGAAAATATTACAGTGGGATCAAGAAGCTGTGGTGCACGATTATAGATGGCGAAGAGGAGGAAAGCCAATGCATGCGCGCTGTACCAGTGTTACACGTAGAGCCACCACTCCTGGTTGTGCCGGCGCACGGATGTCTGAGACACAGAAAGTAAAGCATATCGGATGTGAATTCTAGTATTAATATTGCCACTTTGGACTGATTTATCGCCGTATGACTAGTGACGGAAGCTTTTTTTCGACAGGTGCTAGGATGTGTGTGCGACTACTTTGATTGGGCGTTTTGCAAAGACGACATCGGTGGGTCTAACTGTTCGGATAAGGCACGCATTTTATGCTATTGAAAAGGTCGAAAAGCTTGTCTGGCGAAGTTCAGAAGCGCAAATCGTGCTCCACCAGAGCCCGCTCCGTGGAAGTAAACGTTACAAACGCCCACAGGCGGGCATGAAGAACGCAGCCTGTAGTCAGTTGTGTAACTGCAGTCTACCTGAATGCACACAACCTCATGTTGGTGTATTGCTTTAAATGAGCACCTGAGTCCAACTATCACTGGGCAGCCATCTGTGAGCTTCACTGCATTTGGGCGTTCTTCATCTACCGCCCACAGGAATGAGTATTTTACAAGGGCCACGTTGTAAATATACCCAGCGGCGGCTTCCCGGTGGATCTGTTGTGCCTTTGGGGGTCGGCTTATGGCCAAGCAGCGCCCCACAACGGCTGGGGGATGATGGGCAGCAAACCAGAGGAGCAGGAACAGCCCAGTGCTTTTTTGGAGGAGTGTTTCAAGATTAAAAGCAACACTGCGAAAGTCCTGTAACTCGAGCGCCGTCGAAACGTACGTTGTGTTTGAAGGCACGTTCGGAGATGTGTTGTCTCTCGAGGAAGATAGAAGGTTTTCTTCATCTACACAGGGAAAAGGAGTTTAAGGCGATGAAAGGCATGTACCTCCTGGTGGCACAGTGATATGTTCTGTTCTGTGCTGAAGTATGGATGTAGGAATAACGACAAGTGTGGCACCATTGTGGTGAGACTGCTTAAACTTTGCGTTGTACTTTGCGGCTCACTGATTACGTGATATTTTGTCTACTCTCCAAAAAAAAAAACAATGCGGTGCCACCGAAGTTGTGGGTGATGCTCATTGGGGAGGCAAAAATACATTTTTAAGACTGATTGGTGCGGTTAAAGGTTCATGAAGAAGGAATTAAGGCTATTTGGTTCATTTACAGTCCGAAGCTGGTTGGTTCGCTCCGAAACATACACAAATGTCGCTGGTTGTACCCGAGCAGAACTGGATGCCTAGCTAATATGCATGCAAATGAAGGCCTCCTGCGCGGAAGCTCATAAAGTTATCCACTTGGTTGTGTTTTCCATTCATATCCAGCTGCTGCATGCATCTGCGACCCGCCTAGATTTTGTGTTGAAAGTCAGGCGCGCCTGCAACGTTTACATTTTTAGCTTTACGGAGAGGGGTTTAGGATAATACGTGTCAGCAAAATTTAAGAGACGAATTTTCCCCTGAAATGTTCGGTGGAAGTGAACGTTCCATGCGCAGTTCAGCGGTCTTTGTAGGGAAAGGAAATAATCCACTTACTTGGACGCGTTTCATGAGTAGCTATCGAGCCGCTGAAGATGTTAAAGACGCAGCACTGCATGCACTAACTTAGTTCACCCCTTACGAGGGATTGGGTCGAACTTATCCTCAATACGAGCTAGGAGAGAATGCTGTTTGGCAGCTGTTTTGCTGTAGGAAGATGTTCAGATGTTTTTCTAGCTTGCTCGGTGATACCCAGCCCTAGCGAGAAAATGAAGCAACGACGAGCTGCCTAGGACTGGCAATGCTGAGTTCTTGAAGTCCACTCCACTTCCCGAAATACGAGAGACCGGCATTTTAGAAGAGGTTGTGTTGGCAAACCATTGGCTGAACTTCGCCGCCACTCTAGAATCTGCGATCTTATTCAGTTGCCGTCCTGACCTGCAATCGAGCAAAACGACTTAAGGTATGAACTAGTAGGAAACGGTTGGCCTCTCCAGTCCCCAGACGTTCTGGGCACAGCACCTCAAGGGCCTGGCGCTGGGGGTTAGGAAGCGGCCTGGAATGATCTATAACACCTACTGTAAATGGAACAGAAATGTGAGGCGCCTTCACATGCAAGCACAGCCCTAACCTTTTGCTGTTTGCAGTTGTAGAGTGCAGACGATTTTTGTACTTCTGCTTGCATACAGGCTGCCTACCACGGCCAAGTAAGTGTTTACGCATCAGCTTTGGCCAGACCATGCATCCTGTAGGTAACGCCACTATATGGGGGCTGTGGTTGGTGCATGTAGCACTGTACTGTTGAAAAAATGCCCTGTCTTTCAGGCTGGTGAGGAGTTCTCAGGAAGTCGAGTGCTGCCTTGCATATAGGGGCGCGTACTGAGTGAGCACTTCTGCTCCTGAAAAGGTCTAGGTTGCAGACACTAACGAGAATGCATCGGCAATAAAGTCAGAACTTTGTTCGTTGTTAGTAGCGACCAGCTTTGAATATCATTGTTTCAGGACGAAATGGATCCACTGCGCAGTACAGCTTCCCTATTAGGAACACTTTTGAGCAAGATACGCACCGCCATTTCCTACGCGCACGCCAAATCTTAAAGCAAAATGACTTCCTACAAGCGAAATACGGGGTTCTTTGTATGGCGGCAATTCAGACTTGCAAAGCACCTGGTGCTAAAGTAGTTTCTCCCTGGCAACTACAGATCATACTGCTATGATCCATACGGAGCAATGGGCCTATTGCATGAATCTTGGGAAAACTGGCTAGTGACTCATCTGAAGCGTGCCTGGCTAGAGCTCCTGCTGTTCATTGGCATAGCCGTGCCAACGAAAACGAACGTTTAGTCAGTTGAAACATTCTTCAGGAGCCGCCCCTCCCAGTGTTACAACGATTCGGATTGCCGCGCAATCGCCAATCACCGGCCTGTGTGTACGGCCCGTACGACACACCGGCAGCTGTCCGTTCGTCACAGCGATGCGAGGTGCTAAAAAGGTATAGACTTAGCTGTGGCTACTTAAGCTGCAAACCAGAGCTAGGCAAATACAAATCACTCTTGCCTGTGTGGCAGTATGGGCTGCTCTTGGCTGCAACTGCATCTTTTTTAAACGTGGGAACTTCCAATTCAACAGAACACTGAAGAGGTTACTTGGATGGGCGTCGCTAGCGCATAGATTTGCCTTATTCTGCCGCAAGTTCACTTCGAAAAGGAGCAATCAATTGCCGGTGGCTCTCAAAGTTGACAAAAGACATCACTCTTGGCAACGAATGTCAAGCTGATGTTCACGCACCTGTTCGAAGGGCCTGGCCCCCGACTCCACCTGCAGCAGGAAAAACAGAGCATCATAGCAAAACGCAGTTCAAGGAAACATAGGTGACAATGCTATTGCTTGATTGTCCGGACCCTACAGAAACGCCCATCCCACACGCACCTGCTCCAGAACGTCCCTGCTGATCGCCCCCTGCAGCATTCACACAGATAGTCGCAGCACAAAGTAGTTGACTTTGGAGTGGCGCATCACGCACTCCATTGAGTGCCGTTATCCATAAACACACGTTCCACTCTGCACGCACCTGTTCGAAGGGACTGGCCCCCGACTCCACCTGCAGCAGGAAAAAAAGATCATGATAGCAAAACGCAGTTCAAGAAATCATCGGTGATCATGCTATTGTTTGATTGTCCGGACCCTACAGAAACGCCCATCCCACACGCACCTGTTCCAGAACGTCCCTGCTGATCGCCCCCTGCAGCATTCACACAGATAGTCGCAGCACAAAGTAGTTGACTTTGGAGTGGCGCATCACGCACTCCATTGAGTGCCGTTATCCATAAACACACGTTCCACTCTGCACGCACCTGTTCGAAGGGCCTGGCCCTCACCGCCGCCTGCAGCAAGAAAAAAAACGCATTATAGCAAAACGCAGTTCAAGGAAACATAGGTGATCATGCTATTGCCTGATTGTCCGGACCCTACAGAAACACCCATCCCACACGCACCTGCTCCAGAACGTCCCTGCTGATCGCCCCCTGCAGCATTCACACAGATAGTCGCAGCACAAAGTAGTTGACTTTGGAGTGGCGCATCACGCACTCCATTGAGTGCCGTTATCCATAAACACACGTTCCACTCTGCACGCACCTGTTCGAAGGGCCTGGCCCCCGACTCCACCTGCAGCAGGAAAAACAGAGCATTATACCAAAACGCAGTTCAAGGAAACATAGGTGATCATACTATTGCCTGATTGTCCGGACCCTACAGAAACGCCCATCCCACACGCACCTGCTCCAGAACGTCCCTGCTGATCGCCCCCTGCAGTATTCACACAGATAGTCGCACCACAAAGTAGTTGACTTTGGAGTGGCGCATCACGCATTCCATTGAGTGCCGTTATCCATAAAAACCCGTTCCACTCTGCACGCACCTGTTCGAAGGGCCTGGCCCCCGACTCCACCTGCACCAAGAAAAGTAGAGCATCATAGCAAAACGCAGTTCAAGGAATCATAGGTGATCATGCTAT